TATCTTTAACTCTCTGACTTTCAAATAAATAAATAAATCTTTTTAAAAAAAAAAAAGAAAGAAAAGAAATACACCAATTTAAAAAACATGCAGGCCGGCGCCGCAGCTCACTAGGCTAATCCTCCGCCTTGAGGCGCCGGCACACTGGGTTCTAGTCCAGTTGGGGCACCGGATTCTGTCCCGGTTGCCCCTCTTCCAGGCCAGCTCTCTGCTGTGGCCAGGGAGTGCAGTGGAGGATGGCCCAAGTCCTTGGGCCCTGCACCCCATGGGAGACCAGGATAAGTACCTGGTTCCTGCCATCGGATCAGCGCGGTGCGCCGGCTGCAGCGCGCCGGCCGCGGTGGCCATTGGAAGGTGAACCAACGGCAAAGGAAGACCTTTTTCTCTCTCTCTCTCTCTCTCACTGTCTGCTCTGCCTGTCAAAAACAAAAAAAAAAAAAAAAAACAACAAACAACAACAAAAAACATGCAAAGGACTTGGATAGACATTTGAGAATAAGTTGTACAGATGTGATAGGTATATGACAAGCTGCTCAACATCACTAATCATCAGGGAAAAATAAATCAGAACAATAATGAAGTATCATCCATTATATTAGGATGGCCATTATCGAAATAACAAAAGACTGCAAATAGTTACAGGGTTGTAGAAAACTCAGAGCCCATGTGGTGTTGATGAAAATATAAAATGGTATGCTCACAACTAGAATGGTAGAGAAGTTTCCCAAAAATGAAAAAAGAACTACCAGAATCCAGCAATCCTACTTCTGGGGTTTATCCAGAATCCACAATAGCCCAAGAGATGAACCAACCTAAATATCCACTGACCAAATAATGAATAAAGAAATGTGGTATAGACATGCAACACACTCAGCCATGTAAAGGAAAGTGTGATATATGCTACAATATGGATGAACACTGAGGACATCACACTAAGTGAAATAAGCCAGTCACAGAAGGACAAATACTACACAATTCCACTTGTGTGACATATGTAAAGAATTCAAATTCATAGAAACAGAAAATCAAAAGGAAAGTCAGGGGCCGTGGGAAGGAAAAACTGCTAATTTCAGTCATACAAGATGAAGAATTCCAGGTATCCACTGCTCAACATTAAACTTACAGTAAATACTACGTACTGGTACTTGAAGATTGTTAAGAGGGTAATCTCATGTGCATTTACCGTAATAAAAATAAATGAAATTTTAAAGGACACACAAAAGACCCATCATATTCAAACTGATGAACACAAAAGATAAAGGGATTATCTTCCAAGAAAATAACAAACTGATAAAAACACTAACCAAAAGAACACCACAGTGGCAAGGTACACGTTAGAAGAAAGAGCAGCAGCACCAGAGGATAGTACACAATTATAAAAGGGAATTTCACCAAGATATGAATCCCAGATATGCAAGCCCCTAAGACAGCTTTGAAGCAGAGCCAGCACTGCAGCACAGCAGGTTAAGCCACAGCCTACAGTGCTGACATCCCATATGGGCACTGGCTTGAGTCCCAGCTGCTCTACTTCCCCCAGCTCCCTGCTGATGGCCGGGGAAAGCAGTGGAAGATGGCACAAGTGCTTGGGCCCCTGCAACCACATGGGAGACCCAGAAAAAGCTCCTGGCTCCTGGCTTCAAATCACCCCAGCTCTGACCGTTGCAGCCCTTTGGGGAGTGAACCAGCAGATGGAAGACCGTTCTGTCTCTCCCTCTCTCTGTCACTCTGCCTCACAAATAAATAAATAACTCTCTAAAAAAAATTTACATGAAGCAAAACAGATGAAACTGAAAACAGAAACAGGCAAAGGCAAATCCACAATTTCAGTTGCAGACTTCAACACTCCTCTCTCAGTAATCAACAGAAATACAGATAAAGCCAGCACTGTGGGTTAAGCCACAGCTTGTGATGCAGGCATCCCATATCATAGTGTCAGTTTGAGGCCCAGTTGCTCCACTTCTGATCCAGCATCCTGCTAATGCAATCTAGGAAGGCAGGAAAACGATGGCATCATGAAGTTGGGCCACTGCCAACCATACGGAAACCAGGACAGAGCTCCTGGCTCCTGGCTTCACCCTGACCCAGTTCTGGCTGTTGTGGCCACTTAGGGGTAAACCAGCAAATGAAAGACGTCACCTCTCTCTTTGTCACTCTCCCTTTCAAACAAAATAAACAAAACAAATCTTTAAAGAAAAAAAAAAAAGGCAGTGAAGGTGCAGAAACTACCTTGATGGAAGGATGGGGTCAATTCTTCTCTCAGCTTTCTGGCCAGAGGCTGAGTGCATGCTGCCATCTACGTCCTGCACACAGGAGACGTCCTGCTGCTCACTGCATTCACCTTCACTAAGCGCAGGCCGGAGAGGACTGGCACCCACCTGTGAATACAAGATGTATGTTATTCTAAACAGATGAACACAAACACACCTAACTTTAAAATACGGGAATTTACATACAACACTGTCTTCTCTACAAAACATTAATCCATTCAACATTCATGCTCCTATCTGCAAGGCACACATCTTACTTTTGGAGCATAATGAAAACTGTGCTTTATGGATCAGCCCAAGGTTTCTGATCAGTTTGTAACATCTTCCCTTTACTTTGCTTAAATTTTAAGCGGCTAAATTAACTTGTTTTATAGGTCTAGTCAGGAAGTAAAGTGCATGTTACTAACTCTTTGCCACTTCAGAAGTATAATAATTACACTGGTACTGTGGTACAGAGGGTTAAGCTGCTGTCTGCAGCACAGGCAGCCCATATGGGTGTTGATTCTAGTTCCAGGTGTTCCACTTCCAATCCAGCTCCCTGCCAATGTGCCTGGGAAAGCAGCAGAAGATGGCCCGAGTACTTGGGCCCCTGAACTCATTACAGAAGATTTGGAAGAAGCTTACGGTTCCTGGTTTCAGCCTGGCATAGCCCCTGTCATTGTGGCAACTTGGGAAGTGAACCAGCAGATTGGAAGATCTCTCGCTCTGTCTCTCCCTTTCTCTCTCTAATTCTGACTTATAAATAAATAAAATAAATATTTAATAAAAGAAATATAGTAATTAATAACACAATGCCAGCAATCATTTGACAAGTCCTTACAAGTGACAGGAACTCTACAAGTCCCTGAGATGCTTTTCCTCATTTAATACTGGAAACAATCCTATTTTAAGAGGATTGACTCAATCAAGGAGAAAAACCACTTGAGTTCAGAGATCTTAAGTGAACTGACAAATGTCATACTTAGTAAATAAAAGAGCTAGATTTAAAGCAAGGTGACACACCCATTTCCCACATCAGGGTGACTGTGTTCAATTCCTGACTCCATCATTCTGCTAATGTGTACGCTGGGAAGCGGCTGTTACTGCTCAAGCTACCCGAAAGGGAGACCCAGACTGGGTTCCAGCACTTGGATTCCATATAGCCCAGTCCCAGACACTGTGGCCATTTGGGAAGTGAACCAGTAGAGGAAGCTCTCTCTCTCTCTCTTCATCTCAAATAAATATTTCAGCAAAATCTTTGATTTCTGAATCATCACGCTAGTCATGCATAACATTCTTAATTCTAAGCCACAAAAGAGCAAATATAAATATAAATATAAATATAAATCATACTAAACCACCTATAGTGATTCATTTATTAAAATCAGGGGCAGGGCTGGCATCCCATATGAGCCTGGTTCAAGACCCGGCTGCTCTACTTCCAATCCAGCTTTCTGCTATAGCCTGGGAAAGCAGTAGAAGATGGTCCAAGTGTTTGGGCTCCTGCATCCACCTGGAGGAAGCTCCTGGCTCCTAGCTTTGGATTGGCCTAACTCTGTTGCAGCCATTTGGGGAGTGAACCAGAGGATAGAAGATTCTCTCTGCCTCTCCCTCTCTGTAACTCTTCCTTTCAAATAAATAAATAAATTTTAAAATAAATTTTAAAAATGTTAAAAAATTATTTTCTTAAATCTATCTTGATTAAGCAACCTTGATAAGTATACTCCAAAACTTTGTGGAAAACTGGAACAAAAATTATGATGCATGTGGGGCAGGCATTTGGCCTAGCAGTTAAGATACCACTTTGGACTCTCACATCCCATACATACTGTAGTAACTGTGTTCAAGTCCCAGCTCTGCTTCTGATTCCAGTTTCCTACTACTGTGCAACATGGGAAATAGCATGGCTCAAGCAGTTGGGTCCCTGCCAACCACATGGGAGACCTAGATTGGGTTCCTGGCTCCTGGTTTCAGCTCCAGCTCAGATCTAGCCCACCCCCAGCCATTGCAGGCATTTGGGGAGTGAATCAGTGGATGGAAGACCCATCTTTCTATCTCTCTGTCTTTCAATGAAGAAAAATTTAAAAATTAAAAAAAAGGCCACCTTCAACTCAGCCATTATCCTGCAGAACTCATAAATGTAACTACGTTTGCATTCTAAAAGTAAAAAACAATGAGAATACATGTTTCATAAAAACTAATCCATATGGGCTTTGTAGACAGAGAACAAGTAAATCTGATTTATTAACCAACACAAGCAATACACATTTCACTATATACAACATGTTATTTCCAACCACTGTTAATATTAACATAAAGGACATATCTCAGAAACAAACTTGAAAATATAATCTTACACCACTGTTTACTTATGTTTTTATATTTTTAATTAAAAATGAGTTAATATAGTACCATGAGTTAGTATAGTACATGAGCAAATCCAATAGGCATAATTGCTACTATCCAGAACTAAAGTATTAAAGTCTCCGCTATACTACTATACTCAAGTACACAGGCTACTAAAATATAAGATTTTAAGAACTTACTCTTGTGTTTTTCCCCTCTAGAAGAACCTGATTGATCAGTCACATTTCCTGAGAGATTTTTACTTCTTGTTTATTAGTTTCATCCTGAATTCTTCCTTCTCCTTTTTTTTTATTTAGGCCTTGTTCTAATGCAACCTGTTCTGAACTCTGTTCTGAGACCAAAGACTCTTCTTCACTGTCTGAGCATCCTCTTGAGATGCTTCTTTGTCTAAACTGAAGTACTCATTGACTCCTCTGGTTCCTCCTCTGGTTCATCAATCACTCCTTCATTGGCAACTTTTTTCACTGAAAATAAGAAGAATCATTATAAACAAGTGACCTACCAAAAAAAACCGTTAAAAGCGAAGATGCCTTCCGCGGTACTATTCCTATGAGGAAAAAAAAAATTGAAGGCAACCTAAAATGCTTAGCAGGAATGACAAAATAAATTATAATAAACTCATGTAATAAAAAGTCACACTGCCACTAAGAGCACAAGTACTTTTACAATACAGCAATGCAAAAGATCTCAGAACACACTGTTGCATTAAAAAAGTCAAATATAGAGAAGATATAGATGATCTCATTTTTCTTAAAAACAACTACGTGGAGTGGAGAGCTTTGTGGCACAACAGGTTAACTGCCTCCTACAAAACCAACATCCTGTTCCAGGGGGCTGGTTCAAGTTCTAGCTGCTCCATTTCTGACCCAGCTCCCTGCTAATGCACTGAGAAAGAAGCAGCTGATGGCCCACCATGCGGGAGACCAGGATGGGGTTCCCAGCTCCTGGCTTCAGCCTGATCCAGCCTTGTCCTTTCCAGCCATTTCAGGAGTCAAACAGTAGACGGAAGTGCTCCCCCACTCCATCATTCTGACTTTCAAATAAATAAAAAATAAATCTTTAAGAAAAGCAATTATATAGACTCCAAAGACACATATGTAAATATATATGCATAAAAATGGGTTTAAAACCAGTTATTCCTGGGAAATCTGAAGAAATTTACTCTCAGGACAGACAGAAGACAAGGATCAAGATTCTTATCTTCCATATTATTTGTTTTTCAGTAAACAACTGTTTTAACAATTTTTTAAAATAATTTCTAGTGGGGCCAGCACTGTGGCACAGTAGCCTAAGCTTCCACCTGTGGCGCTGGCATCCAATATGGGTGCAGGTTGTGTCCTGACTGCTCCTCTTCTGATTCAGCTCTATGCTTATGCAGTCGAAAGCAGTGAAAGATGAAGTGCTTGGGCTCCTGCACCCGCCTGGGAGACCCCAGAAGAAGCTCTCAGCTCTGACTGTTATGGCCATCTGCGGAGTGATCCAGGGGATTGAAGACCTTTCTCTTTGTCTCTCCCTCTCGCTGTCTGTAGTTCCACCTCTCAAATAAATAATTCTTTAATAATAAGAACAACAATTTCTAGTGCCCTTCCCATAAAGACATATTAATAATCAACTATATTGAAAACATGAATAAAAAACAAATCAGAAATCACCTTGGAAACACCTGCTATTTTCCTGTGAAATGCTTTTCTCCTGTGAAAATCATGCCAAAATTAATTTGTCATTGTAATGGGACTAAGAAGAAGTTATTGATTTATTTATGTATTTGAGAGGTAGAGTTATAGACAGTGAGAGGGAGAGACAGAGAGAGGGGTCTTCCATCGGTGTATTCACTCTCCAAATGGCCTCAACAGCCAGAGCTGGGCGAATCCAAAGCCAGGAGCCAGGAGCTACTTCCTGGTCTCCCACGTGGGTGCAGGAGCCCAAGCACTTGGGCCATCTTCCACTGCTATCCCATGCCATAGCAGAGAGCTGGATTGGAAGAGGAGCAGCCAGGACCAGAACTGGCGCCCATATGGGATGCCAGCACCACAGGCAGAGGATGAACCTACTGCACCACAGTGACAACTCAGAAGAAACCTTTTAAGAGGTAATCAGGCCATTCAGAAAGGTCCTTCTCTCCCCCTCCCTTCTCCCTCTCCTTTTCCCTCTCTCTCTCTCTGCCTTGCAAGGATGTGGTAAGAAGGCCCCATGATAGCTTTTAGATTTCCCACAGTCCAAAACTATGAGAAATAATAGCAGCACAAAATGGACTATGGATTCAGATCAAAAGAAGCTTAATTTCACAACCATGCTTATCAAATATCTTCACTGAAAAGAGCTAATCTCACAACATAAGAAAACTCAATCTTTTGTGGAAAAAGTCAAAATAAGAATTTAAAGCTGAAAAAGTAACATTTGATTTGTTCTGAAAATAATTAAAAATTTTAAATTCTGATACATAATAACATATCTGAATAGTCCTTACATTTAGATACAGTAAATTACTCATGCTACCTGTAACAAGAGGAATTAATATATCTATTTTGATCTCCTAGGATTATGTATAGTAAGTAAAAAATTAACTAAAGAATGAAATAATTGCAATTATCAATACTTTTTTTTTTTTTTTTTTTTTGGACAGGCAGAGTGGACAGTGAGAGAGAGAGACAGAGAGAAAGGTCTTCCTTTGCCGTTGGTTCACCCTCCAATGGCCGCCACGGCTGGCACGTTGCGGCCGGCACATCCCGCTGATCCGAACCCAGGAGCCAGGTGCTTTTCCTGGTCTCCCATGCGGGTGCAGGGCCTAAGGACTTGGGCCATCCTCCACTGCACTCCCGGGCCACAGCAGAGAGCTGGCCTGGAAGAGGGGCAACCGGGACAGAATCCAGCACCCTGACCGGGACTAGAACCTGGGGTGCCGGCGCCGCAAGGCGGAGGATTAGCCTAGTGAGCCACAGCGCCGGCCCAATACTTCTTTTTTCAAAGATTCAGGCATCATACTCCAGAAGAAGAAATTCTAAACTAGCTTTGTGCAACTAAAGAGTTACTACAGGACAGGAGGCCTGACTGCTATCCTTTGAAAGGCTAATCCTTTGGCTCTCAGGGAACTTAATTTAGGGACGGTTTCTATTACCCAAGCTGTTAAGACCTGATTTCTCACTATGGTTTATAACAAATCGTTTTCCTTCCAGGATCTGAAATTTTGGTGGGTAACAGGCAGACAGTGCTGAATCCTGTAAATCCTCTAGCAAATAATCAAACCTGAGAGTGGTCTCAAGGACCCCAGTAAAGGTTCTCAGAGTCTTAGGTTTTTAAGCCCAGCCTCTGCCACTAACACTGTGCAACCACACCAGGAAAAGTAACAGGATCTCTGGGGTTGTTTCACAGTGACTAAAACAAATAGACAAAACAGTGAGATGTGGACCAGCTAACACATAAGGTGCCCTATTGTCCTCAGATTCTACAAATTATATATATGATTATAGCTACACATTATCTTCATAGACAAGAGTTCAAACAGTTAAGGAATACACACCTAGAAATAGATAAACCTACACAAGACAGTTTGAAACTTTATACAAGTCAATATTAACCTTCAGAAGTAAATTTGCTCAAATATAATCTAGTCAAACCTCCAGATATTAGAGCTCCATTTTGTTAAATATTAGAATCTTATACCAGATTCATTTTATAGAGAAAAATATACTAAATAACAAAACATGAAACATGACACTCCAAGATTCTGATGCTCTTTACTACCCCTTGTTCAAGACACTAGAAATTAGCCCCATCACTCTATTATAAAATTTAAAAGGGATCTACTGGGGCCAGGATTGTGGCATAGCGGGTAAAGCCATCACCCGTGATGCCAGCATTCCATATGGGCGCTAGTTCGAGACCTGGCTGTTCCACTTCCAATCCAGCTCCCTGCTGATGTGCCTGTGAAAGCAGTGGAAGATGGCCCAAGTACTTGGTCCTACTTGGGCCCTGTACTCATGTGGGAGACCCAGAAGAAGCTCCTAACTTCTGGCTTTGGCCTGGCCCAGCCCCGGCTGTTGCTGCCATTTGGGGAGTGAACCAGCAGACGGAAGATCTCCCCCCCCCCCTTGTAACTCTGACTTACAAATAAATAAATAAATCTTTAAAAAATAACTAAAATAACTAGGCCGGCGCCGCGGCTCACTAGGCTAATCCTCCGCCAACGGCGCCGGCACACCGGGTTCTAGTCCCGGTTGGGGCGCCGGATTCTGTCCCGGTTGCCCCTCTTCCAGGCCAGCCCTCTGCTGTGGCCAGGGAGTGCAGTGGAGGATGGCCCAAGTGCTTGGGCCCTGCACCCCATGGGAGACCAGGAAAAAGCACCTGGCTCCTGGCTCCTGCCATCAGATCAGCGCGGTGCGCCGGCCGCAGCGCGCCGGCCGCGGCGGCCATTGGAGGGTTAACCAACGGCAAAGGAAGACCTTTCTCTCTGTCTCTCTCTCTCTCACTGTCCACTCTGCCTGTCCAAAAAAAAAAAAAAAATAACTAAAATAACTGGTAAAATGAAGTAAACTTAATCCCCTCCAACCGAATGCCAGGATGATCTCAGTTTCTAGAGCTTCCACGCCCTCTAAATACCTGAGGGACAACACTCACAACCCATTACAGCTAAGTAAAACAGCACACCTTCTATCAAATTCATACCTTTTACATTTTTCCGTGGTTTGGAAGCTTTCTTTTCCTTTAAACTGTTGTTTTTAACGGATTTTTGTTTTCTTTTCTCTTCTTCAGCAAGAACTTTCTGAAGCAAATGAGCAAAAAAATCGAAGTCAAAAGGGCGCTTTTCCTCTGTTTAAAAAAAAAAGGAAAAGAACTTTCAAGTTTTTAATTTTTTAAAAAAGGAAACTTTCTAGTTTGTTTTTTTTTTTTTTTTAGATAACACAACATCAAAAGCAAGTGGGCCTGTACATTAGCAATGCAACTGGTAAACAAGGACACAATAGTTCACTATTCAGCAATAAAACAAACTTGAAGGGAACAACTACGACTACCAGCAATAAGATGGGTAAATTTCAAAAACACAGTGAAAGAACCAAACTCAGAGAGTACATATCCTGTGCTTCCATGAGTAAGATCTTTCAGAACACACTAATCTAATCCAATCTAATCAAAGTGCTAGGAGGATGGCATCTGATTGATTAGAAAGGAAAAGGAGGGACCTTCAGGAATAATGAAAACATGCTATATACTGTTGGGGTGGTGGTTACAAAAGTATATTATTTGTCAAAATGAAAACTACACTTTCAACTATGCATAAGTATAAATCAATGTTTTAATGACAAAGATGACTAAGAAGTCTTTGGGGACCAGTACTGCAACAGAGTGAGTTGAGCCACCACCTACAATGTTGGCATCCCACATAGGAGCATCCCATATGCTCCACTTCTGATCCAGCTCTCTGCTATGGCCTGGGAAAGCAGCAGAAGATGGCCCAAGTCCTTGGGCCCCTGCACCCACATAGGAGACCTGGAAGAAGCTCCTGGCTCCTAGCTTCGGGATTGGCTCAGCTCCGGCCATTGAGGCTATCTGGGGAGTGAATCAGTGGATGGAAGATCTCTCTCTGCCTCTGCGTCTCTGTAACTCTGACTTTAAAATAAATAATCTTAAAAAAAAAATCCAAGGCCAGCACCGTGGCTAACTAGGCTAATCCTCCGCCTGCGGCGCCGGCACTCCAGGTTCTAGTCCCAGTTGGGGCACTAGTTCTGTCCTGGTTGCCCCTCTTCCAGTCCAGCTGTGGCCTGGGAAGGCAGTGGAGGATGGCCCAAGTCCTTGGGCCCTGCACCCGCATGGGAGACCAGGAGGAAGCACCTGGCTCCTGGTTTTGGATCGGCGCAGTGTGCCAGCTGTAGCAACCATTTGGGAGGTGAACCAATGGAAGGAAGACCTTTCTCTGTCTTTCTCTCTCACTGTCTAACTCTGCCTGTCCAAAAAAAAAAAAGATACCATAAAGATACCATAGATTCTCATCTCTCTTGGGAGGCCTAAAGGCAGAGAGAAGAATAAACGTTACCTTAAAAAAAAAAAAAAAAAGTCCAAAAGAATTACCACATGGTTCTCAGAAGAATTCAAAGTAGCAGCTCAAAAACAAAAAGTCAAAATTCAGCTGGCTTTTAACTTTTGAAAAAATTTTCTGGGGTCGGCGTCATGGCATAGTGGGTAAAGTCGCTACCTGCAACTCCAGCATTCCATATGGGCGCCTGTTGGAGTCCTGACTACTCCACTTCCTATCCAGCTCCGGGCTAACAGCCAGGGAAAAGCAGTGGAAGATGGCCCAAGTGCCTGCACCCCTGCTACCCACATAGGAGACCTAGAAGAAGCTCCTGGCTCTTGGCATCAGTCTGTTGCGACCCTCTGGGGAGCAAACCAGTGGATGGAAGATATCTCTATCTCTGTCTCAACCCTCTAACTCTCAAATAAATAAATAAATCTTTAAAAAAAGATCTTTTAAAAAAAAAGCACTAAAATCAGTGTTTTAAACACATCTGTATAATGGCTTTCCTAAAGCTCCATGTATGGTTGGGCACTGTGGCACAAGTAAGCTACCATGCTGGGTGTCTGCTTCCCTTATAATAGCACAGATTTTAATCCCAGCTACTTTGCTTGTGAACTAGCTTCCGGGCAAAGGCATCCTGGGACCCTGGCACTAACATGAGGGACAGAATAGAGTTCTGGGCTCCTGACTCCAGCCTGGCCCAGCCCAGGCTATTGTGGGCACGTACAGAGTGAACCAGCAAATGGAAGATAGCTTTTGCTTGCTCACTCTCTCTCTCTCTGCCTAACAGATGAAAATATGTAATAAACATTTTAAAGATTTCATACTTTAACCAGGATATTAACTAATTTACGAACCTTTTTCTTATTTTAATGTGTTAAACCTAATAAAGTTTCAGGACCACTTGTCTAAAATGGAAAGGGCTGAAGATTACAGTATTCCAAATCTTCGAGGAGCCATTCCTAGAAGTGGTTTCCCCAAGAACCAATACAACACTGGATGCAGGATCCACTCATCTACCTTAGTGTTCACTCATACTCAAACATGCTACACAAGCTAAGTTCCATATATGGATTTTTTTTATTTGTTTTCCAAAGATTTATTTGTTTATTTGAAAGCCAGAGTAACAGAGAGAAAGAGGGAAAGACAGAGATCTTTCAAACACTGGTTCACTTCCCAAATGCCCACAATAGCCAGGGCTGAGCCGGGCCAAAATCAGAAGATAGGAACTCCATCCCAGTCTCCCACATGGACAGCAGGGACTCAAGTACCCAGACCATTATCACCTGTCTGTCAGGTGCATTACCAGAAAGCTAGTTCAGAAGTAAAGCAGCTAGGACTTGAATGAGTACCGTGGCATGGGACACCAGCATGGCAAGTGGCAACTTAATTCGCTGTACCCCAATGCCAGTCCTTACTTGGATTTTTTTCTAAAATTAGCACTATGTCTAATTTTAATTAAGAAATTTAATTTCATTCTAGTTCTTTTAAAGTTATACTATTGTTAATCTCCTGAATAAATGAACACTGAATATATTAATTATGAAATATAGATAATTACAGGTCCATAAAAAATATATACCTTCTAAAAAAGAATGTAAGAACTACTTTAAATAATATTCTTTTAGATCCCTTGAGTATTGATGTACTTTTCTAAACTGAAAAAAATGTTAATTTTATTGAGAATATTAGTTAAAAATTGAAAGATATCTATTATTCTTTCAAATCAGGTCTAAATTCATATGTTACCTCTTTAGACAGAACTTCCCTGAAAACCCAATCTAAACATCCACCACTTTCCTTCTCAGAAATTAATCATTATGAGATTATGCTTATCAACTGTTTCCCCTCCCCCATCCAGTGAGACTTAAGATCCTAAAAGCAGAACAGGAAATTAGCCTAGTGGTTAAGATGCCAGTTAAGATACCCCATCCCACATCAGGGTACCTGAATGTGATACTCACTGCTGGCTCCAGACCCCAGCTTCCTGCTGAAGCAGAACCTGGGAGGCAGCAGTGATAGCTGGAGTGATTGCCACGCATGTGCAAAACCTGGCTCTCAGCTTTCGTTCAACCCAGTCCCCACCATTGCAGGCACTTGGAGGGTAAACCAGTGGACGGGGTGAGCGTACACTCTCTATGTTTCTCCCCTTCTTTCCTTCCCAAATAAATTTCAGAAAGTTTTAAAAATTTTTAAATATTTTTTTTATTTGACAGGTAGAGTTATAGACAGTGAGAGAGAGAGAAAGGTCTAAGGGGGCTGACGCTCTGGCTTACTTGGTTAATCCTCCACCTGCGGCACCGGGTTCTAGCCCCGGCGGCCCCTCTTCCAGTCTAGCTCTCTGCTGTGGTCCGGGAGAGCAGTGGAGGATGGGCCCCTGCACCTGCATAGGAGACCAGGAAGAAGCACCTGGCTCCTGGCTTTGGATCAGCACGGCACCAGCCGCCCCAGTCGTAGCGGCTATTTGAGGAGTGAACCAACAGAAGAAAGATCTTTCTCTCTGTCTCTCTCTCACTGTCTATAACTCTATCTGTCAAATAAATAAATTTTGAAAAATAATAATAATCTAAGGGCTGGTACTGTGACGTAGTGGGTAAAGCCGCCGCCTGAAGTGCCAGCATCCCATATGGGTGCCAGTTAGTGTCCTGGCTGCCCCACTTCTGATCCAGCTCTCTGCTATGGCCTGGGAAAGCAGTAGAACTTGGCCAAGTCCTAGGAACCCTGCACCCACATGGGAGACTGTGAAGAAGCTCCTGGCTCCTGGCTGATAAAAAATCTAAAAACAGAATTGTCATCTGCTCCCAAGCTAGAATAGTGACTAGCAAACAGCAGGTGGTACCACTGCTGATGAAGTAAAATGATTGACTACTGAAAAAACCATCTACAGAACTCTATCACCCAAAAACAATTAACTCCTAGAATACAATTCCTTCAGAGTAAAGAATAGTTAGAAAAGGTATCATCCGTCATTTTGTAACCTCTTAGACTTAGAAATCTACACACCTGCTCTTTTGGCTAATCCGGTGTCTACAGATTTGCAGCAACTGCCAGATCCATACTGATAAATAGAAGAATTTTCACTCATATTCTTCTTACACCAATATAGGGACAAAACAAATCTAAAACACACTGGAGCCTAAGACAAAACATTGGTCCTTTTTTTCGGCCCTCTAAATGACATACTATAAAAGAGGTCTTAATACTTACGGAAGGCTTTATCTATTCTCCATCCATTTGTTTTCTCTTCACGTTTAAATTTATTCTGTTAACGACAACAACAAAAAAGCTATAGAAATTTTCTCTCATTAAACAAGATCTTTTTTTTAAGAAACAGTAAACATTAAAGTGAAATTCTAATGAATAATAGATTATCCTCTACTAAATGATAGTTCTTTGCCAAGAGGGAAGTTACCTGTTAAATCATTAATTAAAAAAAAAAAAAAGGAAGATGAAATACTAATACTGAGCTTCCTGCTCCTCCTTATGCATTACCTATAAGCATGAGTTGACAATGGAAGTTGGGTTTACAGAAGACAGAGAACAACAAAGCCAACTAGCATGGAAATATCAAAATTATAATCAATGAGGTTAACAACTAAAACAATCATATCAGGTTAAACTTCTTACATCATTCTAATATATTTCAAGTGTGGCACAGAGAAGAGACTGTAGAGATACAACTAAGCAAATTTCAAAGCAGGCCAAGTTTATCTTCAGAATTTTTTGTCAGTCACATTTCCTATGTCTTCCTTGGCACCACAGATCACTAACCTCAGTTCCACCCAGATTGCCTCCACCCAGATGGAAACACTTAAGGCTTATGGCTCAATCCGTCCTAAAGTCATTAAGAAGTCTAAGGGCGGGCTGGCGCCGTGGCTCACTAGGCTAATCCTCCGCCTAGCAGCGCCAGCACACCGGGTTCTAGTCCCAGTCGGGGCGCCGGATTCTGTCCCGGTTGCCCCTCTTCCAGGCCAGCTCTCTGCTGTGGCCCGGGAGTGCAGTGGAGGATGGCCCAAGTGTTTGGGCCCTGCACCCCATGGGAGACCAGGAGAAGCATCTGGCTCCTGCCTTCGGATCAGCGCAACGCGCCGGTCACGGCAGCCACTGGAGGGTGAACCAACGGAAAAGGAAGACCTTTCTCTCTGTCTCTCTCTGTCCACTCTGCCTGTCAAAAAAAAAAAAAAAAGAAGAAGAAGTCTGAGGGCATATGTGTATTTGAGGATGTCTAATCAAGCACACGCAGCTGGATGAGAGAACAATCAGCCCATCTCTCCCTTCTATATCAGTATTCTTTAAGTTTTTACTACATACACAAAAATAAATTTTTTATTGCAAAAAAGACATGAAAAAAATTGCACACACATACACGCACACACGTGCACAAAAAGGAACTGCTTAGACTCTAACCACTAATCTGACTTTAAAATTTTTACTTTATTTATTTGAAAGACAGACAATGAGAGAAAGAGAAAGAGACAGACAGACCGATAGACAACGATGTCACATCCACTGGTTCACTCAAATTCCCTCAACAAGTAGGACTGGGCCAGGCAAAAGCCAAGAGCCAGGAACTCCATGCAGGTCTCCCATGTTTAAGGCAAGACTCAATTACATGAGCCATCACTTGCTGCCTCCCAGGATGTGTATTAGCAGGAAGTCAGAGTCAGGAGCAGGGCCTACGCTGTGGCATAGCAGGTAAAGCCACCGCCTGCAGTGTCGGCAACCCATATGGGCACCGGTTCAAGTCCCGGATGCTACTCTTCTGATACAGCTCTCTACTATGGCCTAGGAAAGCAATAGAGGACAGCCCAAGTGCTTGGGCCCTGTACCCACGTGGGAGACCTGAAAGAAGCTCCTGGCTCCTAGCTTCAGATCGGCCCAGCTCCGGCCACTGCAGCCAACTGAGGAGCGAACCAGCAGATGGAAGATCTCTCTGTGTGTGTCTCTCCCTCTGCCTCTCTGTAACTCTGCCTTTTCAAATAAATAAATAAATCTTGAAAACAAAGGATGAGAGTATGTTAAATTTTAAAACAAATCTCATTCCTGTTGTACTTTATTGTTTAAAAAACATTCATTCTATGGTGGGCAGTTGGTAATTTCAGTTTGACTAATTTATAAACCTGAAAATTATACTAGCATGGATAACAGCTCTTTGGCCTGACAATTTTCCAATGCCAGTGTTTCTGCTTAGCTGAGATGAAACTTTATTAGAAACTTTCAGTTGGTGATTTTTTTTTAAAGAACTATTTGTTTGAAAGGCAGAGTTAGAGAGTGAGAGAGAGACAGAGAGCTTCCATCCACTTGTGGCAGGGGCTCAAGTACTTGGGCTTTCCCAGGCACATTTGCAGGAAGCTGGATTATAACTCAAATCAGGGCTCACATGAGATGCCAGGGTCACAGGTGGCAGTTTAACCCACTGCACCACAACATCAGACTCTTCTATATCACCTTAATAAGGGCAAGAGGAACAGTGATATTATATTCTACAGATATACTTAAAAGAGAGGTCTGGCTTCATCTCAGTCTAGAAATTCATTCAAAACTAAAAATATGTTATATACATGTACAAGCACATACACTTCGTGTTGTGTGTATATATACACAATATATGCACACTCAGTCTGTCAAATTATATACAAAATTTCTATTCAGGATTTTTAAAATAAACAGGAGGCAGACATCTGGCCAAGTGCAGCTTAGAATGGCCAAATCCTATATCAGAATATCTAGGTTAGAGTCCTGGCCCCACTCCTGATTCTAACTACCTGCTAATATTTACTCTGGGAGGTGCACTCAAGAGCTTGGGTCTCTACTGCCCACATGTTAGAATCAGACTGAGTTCCTGGCTCCTGGCTGAGGCATGGCCCAACCCCAGTTGCTGTGGACATTCCGGGAGTGAATGAGCAGATAGGAGCTGCCTTTCTGTCTCTGTTTTTCTCTCTGCCTCTCAAATAAATTAAAAATTAATAAATAAAAAATGGACAAGCAAGGGTTGGCATTGTGGTGCATCAAGTTAATCTGCTGCTTTCAAAGCCAGCAACCCATACTGGAATTCCAGTTTGAGTCCCAGCTACGCTACTTCTAATCCAGCTCCCTGCTAATGTACCAAGAAAGGAACAATTGATGGCTCAGGTACTTGAGTCCCTGCCATCTAAATGGGGAGACTCGGGTAAAGTTAACGGTTCCTGGCTCTAGCCTGGTCCAGCTTGTGGCAGTTGCAGCCATCTGGGGAGTGAACCTGCAGATGGAAGATTTCTGTCTCTCCTCTCTCTGTCACTGTGCCTTTCAAATACAGATCTTAAAAAAAAAAAAAAAAAAAAAAAAAAAAAAAAAAGTGATCAATGTGAGATTGAAATGTTTATCTGTTTAATTAAAATTTTGTGGAACCAGTCTCATGGCACAGCATGTAAAGTTGCAGCCTACAGGCATTTCATATGGGTGCTGGTTAAGTCCCAACCGCTCCACTTCTGAACTAGCCCCCTGCTACTGTGCCTGTTTAGAAAGCAGTAAAAGATGTCCAAAGTGCTTGGGCCCCTGCCAAACACATGGGAGACCCAGATGAAATAGCAGATGGAAAAGATCTCTCTCTCGAAGTGGAGCAAAAATACCTATTGATCAGGGGCGGCGCTGTGATGTAGCAGGTAAAGCCACCGCCTACAGTGCCAGCATCCCATTTGGATGCCAGTTCAAGTACCGGCTGCTCCTCTTCCAATCCAGCTCTCTGCTATGCTTTGGGAAAGCAGTAGAAGATGACCCAAGTCCTTGGGCCCCTGTACCTGCATGGGAGACCTGGAAGAAGCTCCAGGCTCCTAGCTTCAGATCAGCACAGCTCCTGCTGTTGTGACCAACTGGGGAGTGAACAAGTGGATGGAAAACCTCTCTCTGCCTCTCCTCTCTCTGTGTAACTGACTTCCACGTAAATAAGTAAATTTTTAAAAAAATACAAATTTATCATTCATATTGGAATATCACTTATCTTTAAAACATGAAAATGATCACAGCATGGTGGGCAGTGGATTAAGTTGCTGCTTGACACACCCACATCCCCTATCAGAGTTCAAGTCCCTGCTATCTACTTGCAATCCAGCTTCCTGTTAATACATTCTGGGAGGCAGCAGCTCAAGTACTTGGGCCCTGTCACCCTCATGGAGACCCAGATGGACTTGCTGGCTCCTAGCTTTGACCAGGCCTGGCCCTGGCTATTGCAGGCATTTGAGAAATGAAACAGCATATTGAATATTGATACTTATGTTTCTCTGCCCCTCAAACCCCCATCTCTTTCAAGTAGATAAAAAAAAGTAAAACATATTTTAAATAATAATGGAGCAGGATGAAAATCATATGCCTGAAAATTCAAAGTCAAATCTGATATAACAATCTGAATGTTCTAATTTATATTAAAGAAATTTTAAAGAAATTGAATTTATAATCTAAACCCTCTTCCTAAGAAAACTGCTGCATTAGAAGGTTCACTGGTGAATTATATCAAATAATAAAGGAGAAATAGTAATGATTTGAAACACATTCTCCAAAAAATAAAAGGGAAACACTTTCCAACTCATTTTATGTGATCTGCCTGATCCTCAATTCAAATAGGACAAAGAATGTAAAGCATCCCTCATAAACAAAAGTGCAAAAATTCATCAAGAAAATGTAACAAAATTCAGCAACACACAAAAAGAAAAATACAATATGACTAAAAGTAATGTATCCCAAGAATACAATGTTTGTTCAGCATCTGACAATCAGTGTGATGTAATTCACTAACCTTAAATACTGTCTATTTTCACTTTTCTACACTTTGCCCAAAGACCTGCTGGAGCCACATTAAGCTTTTAGGTGAAGAATCCAATGATTTTTGAGAGCAATAGGGTAGCAACAAATTTATCATTAATTACTTAGATCATCAGACACCCAAACCCTCAATTTCTCATTTTCTTCCCCTTTTATCAAATATTATCAATTAGAAAATGAACATGAAGAATGTTTCTCATTTCATGTGAAATACAGTAAGACTATCCCATTATATCATACAATGCCTCTTAAATAATGTCTCCAACCAACCCAAACCTTGTCTAATTAAGGGAAAAAAGATTTGTCTTTCCCAATGATTCCTTTTATTAATGTAATGAACATGATGGGAACGTGAAATGAGGAGAAAAGGCCATGATTGGGAAAAGCTCTCACTAAGAACTGGGAGTGCCTTACAACAACACAGTGTGACAGATTCCAGCAAAGAGACTAAGAAGCAGAGAAGGTCTTCCTCTGCAGCATTTACAGCTGGAACTGACAGAACCTCAGCTGCCAACAGTGCCACTGGCTGTCCTCAGAGTTAAGGTGTGCTAGGAAAGCAAGACATCAGAGACTGAGCACTACAGAACACAGCGTTCTTTATATACCTGCCTAGGAAATTCAGAAATACATTTTGTCTTCAAAAAGCTACTCTGACCCTAACTACACTAGTGCATTTATCTTCCCTATTCATTGTCTTTTATTTTAATTTCAATGCCCTTCATTGGTATCCTCTCAAATTCATTTTAGAAGTGGGCAAGATATAAGTAAGAAAACATGATACTTTAAAGGAGACTGCAACTATTGAAAAATATTCCATTATGTTTCAAGTAATGAAGAGTGAAAAAGGTAACAAACATTATCATGAGGGAAAAAAACAAAGGGAATAGTAATAACAACACTGTCACTAATTTTTGGGCTATTTCCAATCAACAAATGTGATAGGTTTACTTTACCTTAATTTCTATTCTTGCTCTGTGGGGAAAAAGCTGTCCAATCATAGAAAAGTCAGTTCCTACCATGCTGATGGCTAAAAAAAACATATCCGTTTCTGTAAAGACAAAAGATTTAGAATACCTGAAAATCAATCTTGTAAATATTTCAGAGGAAAAAAACCTTACATAAGCAAATATTCTGAATTAAAAATAATTTTATTAGATAGAATCTTAAGCAATATCTAAAAACACCTTCCTCAAATTAAAAAAAAAAAAAACACACATAATACAAAATATTTGCATTCTCATCACAAAGCAGCTGAAAACTTTAAAAAGACATTCTGACTATCAGGTCTCATTCAAAGTGTCTTGAGAAAAATTATCAGTCACACTGTGACCCAATGGATCAAACCACAGCTAGGAACACCTGCATTCCAATTCAGTGCCTAGGATCAAATCCTGGCCACTCAGTGTCTACAAATACAGCTTCCTGCTAACATGCCTGGGAGATAATCAACGATGATCCAAACACTTGCCACCCAACCCACCCACATGGAACTCCAATTTGGCCAGGCCCAGCCCTAACTGTTGCCAGCGTCTGGGAAGTAAACCACAGGATAGATGATCTTCCTGTCTCTCTGGCTCTCCCTCTCTGTACTCTGCCTTTCAAATAAATAAATAATATTTTTTAAAAAGTAAATAATAAACAACAATACCATGCAATAGGTACAATGTACTTTTTCTAACAGCATAACTGTTAACCTACAGAAAAATTATCATACAATACTGAGCGGAATATTATGAGCATCAGAAATATTCTTGGGGTCAGCATAGTGGCGTAACAGGTTAAGCTGTGGCCTGCAATGCTTTGACCCTCAGCTGCTCCACTTCAGATACAGCTCCCTGCTAATGAGCTATAGCAGAGAAGATGGTCCAAGTACTTGGGCCCCCATATCCACATGGGAGACCCAGAAGAAATTCTGGGCCCCTGACTTCAGCCTGGCCCAGCTCTAGCCATTGTGGCCATTTGCAGAGTGAACCAGATATTGCAAAGTGAACCAGACAATGGAAGATACGTCTCTCCCTCTATCTCTGTCTCTGTAACTCTGCCTTTCAAATAAATAAAATAAATCTTAAAAAATATTGCTTATTTTTTACTAAAATGATATTATTTTCAAAAAGGCATTTGACAGAGAGGAAGAGTTCAGCCAAGATTACCATAAAGCTAATTCTTTTTTTAAAAAAACTATTTACTTACTTATCTGAAAGGCAGAGATAGAGAAGGAGAAGGAGGAGACAGAGAAATATCTTCCCATCCGCTGGCTCACTCTCCCCAAATGGCCACAATGGCTGGAGCTGAGCCAGACTGAAGCCAAGAGCCAGGAGCTTCTTCCAGGTCTCCAACGAGGGTGCAGGGACCTAAGGACTTTGGCCATCCTCTGCTGCTTGCCCAGGCACATTAGCAGGGAACTGGACCAGAAGTGGAGAAGCAGAGACATGACCCAGCACGCATATGGGATGCCAGCCCTGCAGGCAGAGGCTTAACAGTCTATGCCACAGGGCCAGCCCAAAGCTAATTCTTTTCTTTTTTTAAAGATTTATTTTATTTATTTGAAAGAGTTACAGAGAGAGGTAGAGACAAAGAAAGAGAGAGGTCTTCCATCCTCTGGTTCACTTCCCAAATAGCCACAATGGCCAGAGCTGCGCCAATCTGAAGCCAGGAGCCAGGAGCCTCCTCTGGGTCTCCCATGCTGGTGCAGGGGCCCAAGCACTTGGGCCATCTTCTACTGCTTTCCCAGGCCATAGCAGAGAGCTGGATTGGAAGTGGAGCAGCCGGGTCTCAAACCATCACCCATATAGGAAGCCGGGGCTTCAGGCCAGGGCATTAACCTGTTGTGCCATAGCACAGGACCCCCAAAGCTAATTCTTAAAAAGATCTCTGGGGCAGGCATTTGGTGACATTGTTAAGACACAGCCTGGGACGATCACATCCCATGTCAGAGTGCCTGAGTTCTAGTCCTGGCTCCACCTCCAATTCTAGCTTTCTGCTAATGTGCACCCTGGGTAGCAGTGGGTGATAGCTCAAGTACTTGAGAATCTGGCACCCAGGAAAGATACCCGGATTCAGCTCCCAGTTCCTGGCTTCAGCCTGACCCACTCTTGGCTGTGATGAAAATTTGGGGAATGAATCAACAGATGAGAGATACTTATATCTATATCTATTTATCTATCTTTCTCTTCTCCCACCTTGCCTTTCAACTAAATAAAGCAAATAAACAAATAATTAAAAAAAAAAAAAAAGGCCGGCCCCGTGCCTCAATAGGCTAATCCTCCACCTTGCGGCGCCGGCACACCAGGTTCTAGTCCCAGTCGGGGCGCCGGATTCTGTCCCGGTTGCCCTTCTTCCAGGCCAGCTCTCTGCTATGGCCAGGGAGTGCAGTGGAGGATGGCCCAAGTCCTTGGGCCCTGCACCCGCATGGGAGACCAGGAAAAGCACCTGGCTCCTGGCTTCGGATCAGCGTGAGGCACCAGCTGCAGCACGCCGGCTGCGGCGGCCATTGGAGGGTGAACCAACGGCAAAAGGAAGACCTTTCTCTCTGTCTCTCTCTCACTGTCCACTCTGCCTGTCAAAAAAAAAAAAAAAAAAGATTTCTGGAGCCAGTGATGCGGCACAGTGCACAAAGCCATCACTTGCAATGCCTTCAGGCTATATGGGCACCAATTCCAATCTCAGCTATTCTACTTCTAATCCAGCTTCCTGCTGATAGGCCTGGGAAAGCTGCAGAGGATACCAAAGTACTTAGGCCTCTGAACCCATGTGAGAGACCCAGATGAAGCTTCTGGCTTCAGTCTGGCCCAGCCGTGGGCGTTGCAGCCACTTGAGGAGTGAATCAACATATATATTTATCTCTGTGTTAACTCTACCTTTCAACTGTTTCTCCCTCTTTCTCTCTGTAACTCTGCCTTTAAAATAAATACACAAACCTTGGGAAAAAAAAGTATTTCTGGCACTAGCATTGTGGTGTAGTGGGTTAACCCACAGCCTGTAATACTAGCATCCCAAATGAGTAAAAGCATCCCATATGAGCACCGACTTGAGTCCCAGTTACTCCACTTCTGATCCAGCTCCTTGCTAATATGCCTTGGACAGCAGGAAAAGATGGCCCCAGTTTCCTGTCACCCATGTGGGAGACCCGGATGGAGGTCTGTGTTCCTAGCTTCAGTCTGCCCAGCCCAGCCCATTACAGCCATTTGTGAAGTGAACCAGAGGACAGAAGATCGATCTCTCTCTCTCTCTCTCTCTCTCTCTGTCTTTCCTTCCCTCTCTAACTCTGCATTTCAAATAAATAAGTCCTAAAAAAAATATTTCTGGGGCAGGTATTTGGCACCATTACTTAAGCCGGCACCGCGGCTCAATAGGCTAATCCTCCGCCTAGCGGCGCCAGCACACCAGGTTCTAGTCCCGGTCAGGGCGCCGGATTCTGTCCCGGTTGCCCCTCTTCCAGGCCAGCTCTCTGCTGTGGCCCGGGAGTGCAGTGGAGGATGGCCCAAATGCTTGGGCCCTGCACCCGCATGAAGACCAGGAGAAGCACCTGGCTCCTGGCTTCGGATCTGTGCGATGCGCCAGCTGTTAACGCGCCAGCCATGGTGGCCATTGGAGGGTGAACCAACGGCAAAAGGAAGACCTTTATCTCTGTCTCTCTCTCTCTCACTGTCCACTCTGCCTGTCAAAGATAGAAAAAAAAAAATTAAAAAAAAAAAAAAAAAAAAAAAAGATGTTACTTAAGATGCCCACACCTCGTATCAGAGTACCTGGTCTGAGTTCCAGCTACTCTGCTTCCAATACGGCTTCCTGCTGTGGGGTGGGAAGCAGCAGGTGATGGCTCAAGTACTTGAGTTCCTGCCACACACAGGAGGCCTCTATTGAGTTTGAAAGGCTCCTAGCTACAGCTGGGCCCAAACCTGGCTGTCATAGGCATATGGAGAGTGAACTAGTAGATCAAAGATCTCTCTCTGTGGTGGAATAAGATAAAAATAATTTTTAAAAAAATCTTTTAAATGGAAAGATAAAACAGAGATACAATTCATGGTGCAGACAAGAGAGACGCAAATAAAATTAGTTGGAGAGAAAACAACATGGTAGTTCACATCTTATTTGCTTAGGGGAGACTAATTCAGAAACAAGTAATTCATTTCATTTAAACAAGTAACACATAATTTCAAATGAAAATTACTTACCTTTATTTGACCATGGTTTAGAGTAATAGTTTTTCCTAAAGCTGGAATATGTAGTTGTAGAACCACGTTCAAATATAGGGTCATTTTCCTCAACGACACAGGGGCCTTTTGTCCTTAAAACTTCTACAGTCAAACTGAAACAAACAAATTTTCATGTAAGTCCACACTGAAGTGAAGAGGCAAAGGCAAATGACATTTAAATAGTTTCATTTTGAAATTTACCATGGTAGTCATTCCAAAAGTAAAACGCTGTACATTTGAAATATGCGTATTTTCTAAGCATATGCCAATTTTCACTTAAAATGTGATTCCCAGGAGGCAGAAACAAATGCACCCACGTATTTTCAAAATTCTTAACAATAACATAAAATTCACAAAATATCTTTGGCCTATCTAAAAAAAATATTTTTATTGACTTATACCTCCTACATTCAACATACAGTTCTGTGCTAGGCACAATGGGGATAATGAGAAATATAAGTATTTTATATTTACATTTCACAACCCAGCAAACAAAGCAATTAATACTCCTTTAATAACCAATAAAATCATCATCATAAACTAATGGAAAAATTATGCAAAAACAATCATTATTAGCAATATTATATTTGCATCATCATAGAATTTATATGATATTTGCACTATCATAGGATCTAAATGCTATAAAATTTTTCATAAACTGTCAAGACTTTCTATCCCTCTAATTTAACTAATTAATCCTTCTTAAAAAACCATACTTTAAAATATAACTAAATTCTGGCGGGCACCATGGCTCACTTGACTAATCCTTCAACTGCGGTGCCGGCACCCTGGGTTCTAGTCCCAGCTGGGGCACCGGATTCTGTCCTGGTTGCTCCTCTTCCAGGCCAGCTCTCTGCTGTGGCCCGGGAGGGCAGTGGAGGATGGCCCAAGTGCTTGGGCCCTGCACCCCCATGGGAGACCAGGAGGAAGCACCTGGCTCCTGGCTTCAGATTGGCGCAGCGCACTGGCCATAGCGGCCATCTGGGGGGTGAACCAACGGAAAAGGAAGACTTTTCTCTCTGTCTCTCTCTCTCTTTCTAACTCTGCCTGTCAAAAATAAATAAATAAATAATTCCATCATACCAAAAATGAGAAATGTAATGCTATGACTTAGAAACCATAAAGTGAATCAGACCTTACCAAAAGAAAAGTCAGAAAATGTTAAGTGTATGTTTCATTGCACATATGACTTTAGTAAATTTGAAAACTTGGACACTGAGCTCAGAACTGAATCAGTCTAAGAAATTTCTCCCCAGTGGAGTACAGGGCATGATTATTCAGTAGCTCAATTCAATTACCAAGAAAATTATTTTTTTTTTTTTTTTTTTTTTTTTTTTTTTTTTTTTGACAGGCAGAGTGGACAGTGAGAGAGAGAGACAGAGAGAAAGGTCTTCCTTTGCCGTTGGTTCACCCTCCAATGGCCGCCGCGGCCGGCGCGCTGCGGCCGGCGCACCGCGCTGATCCGATGGCAGGAGCCAGGAGCCAGGTGCTTTTCCTGGTCTCCCATGGGGTGCAGGGCCCAAGCACCTGGGCCATCCTCCACTGCACTCCCTGGCCACAGCAGAGGGCTGGCCTGGAAGAGGGGCAACCGGGACAGAATCCGGCGCCCCGACCGGGACTAGAACCCGGGGTGCCGGCGCCGCTAGGCGGAGGATTAGCCTACTGAGCCGCGGCGCCGGCAATTACCAAGAAAATTAGTAATACAATGGTTAGGTTAATACACAGCAGTTTCACCTTACACAAAACACAACATTATAAAGAATGCTACACATTATAAATGAATATAACCCACTTTCTTATTTACAATATTCATTACACAAAATACAAACACCAGGGTCTAAGTGATAATGACGGACAAAATCAGAATTTTCTGATTAGACAAAGATTCTTACGAATCCACACCTCTTTCTCTTTTTCAACTCACCTTTCTTCATCCAAAATGATAGAACCATCTTCTGCCACTTTCACTCGTGGGACCAGCAACGGCCCATCATCTGTCTCTTCTTCCAGTTCTTCGTTACCTTCAGCATCAGGAGTATTCTTACTCTCTGGCCTACCCAAAGTAAAGACGGGTTTAATTCATATAGCTATGAGAGGTGTTCCCTGAACACTATGAATTTGAAATTATGACACGGGCTGGTATCATCATACAGTGAGCTAAGGTACTGCCTGCGATGCTGTAATCCCATAGCAGAGCACCAGTTTGAGTCTTACCTTCTCTGCTTCTGATCCAGCCCTCCACTAATGCACCTGGGAAGGCAACAGAGGATGGCCCAAATGCTTGGGCCCCTACCACCCACGTGGGAGATCCAGATAGAGCTCAACACTCCTGGCTTCAGCCTACATCGGCCCCAGCCATTGCAGCAGATTGGGGAGTGAACCAGCAGATGAAGGACTTCCCTCTCTTTCCCTGTATCATGCTAGTTTTCAAACAAATAAATAAGAAATTATTTGTTTTAAAGATTTACTTGAAAGTCAGTTACAGAGAGGGCCAAGCAGAGGCAGAGAGAGAAAGAGGTCTTCCATTCACCGGTTCACTCCCCAAATGGCCACAAAGGCCAGGTCGAAGCCAAGGAGCCAGCAGCTTCACCTGGGAGTGAATCAGCAGATGGAAGACTTCCATCTCTGTAGCTCTTTCAAATAAATAAATATTTTTTTAAATGTCCCAGTACTAGAAATATATTGGAAAAAAATAAGATTAGATGCTTACTCTTTTGTTTGGACTGATGGCAGTAATTTTTCAGTTTTCCTTTCTTGTTCCAATGAAGAACTATTAAATATAAATGACAGAATATTTTTAATAAATTACTAATTTACATCTTGTCAATTCTATCTATAGGCACAAAACAAATTATTTTAACTTCCTTTTGTATAATATACTATAGCACTTTACTAATAATGGCACAAACCAAAACCAATTTTTCAGTCAAGAATTTGTCTAATAGTACAAATAATTTGCCAGCTTAGGCAGGAAATGCTCTTGCCCTCTAACTCCTCAAGTACAGGATGTTCCTGGTCCCAAGGCACGAAGCAACCTAGCTGATTTGTCTCCAGCATCTAGACATCAAACAACTCAAAACCTAGGATTCTGGCTTCAACTGGGCCAAAGACCTGACCTATACAGAAGAACATGCCACTGTTCCTACCTCTACCTGCTAACTCATCAACAAAAAAACAGAAAGATTCATTGCAAACTTGCTGGCTGCTCTGCACCTACTGTGCCCAGGCTAACACTGATTAAAGAAGCTTTGTTCTTGGAGGATTCGTTCATCAAATCGCCACTGTATTTAATTATGAGGTAGGGCACAAATCTAAACTACCACTCTAGATCAGGTCATAGTATATGATGGAAATTGCAATCTTGATTAGAGAAAGGAAAGTGGCCTAGTTGTTTTTACTAAACCTGGTTTTTAATAGAACAAAGGAAACTTACTTTTAATCTCAGAGATAAAGAGTATCATTTATCATTCCCAGAAAATAGTTACCTAATGTTATTAAGTTTTCCCTAATGAAATATTAGATGTGCTACAAATTTTTTCAGTATGCTTTTAGAAAACATGAACTGTACTCTGAATGTGCTACTTAAATCACTATATAACCTCAAGATCTACAAAAGAAATAAATTTTAACTTACGTCATTGGATTGTTATCTGGTAGGTAATATATGAAGTCTCTCATAGTCATTTTTGAACGATCTAGTGGTCTCTGACTTTCATTTAGGGCATATTTGTTTTTCCACTGTTTCTGTATGCACACAGATTCAATTTGATGTTAGAAATACTAATGAATTTCAAACACAGTATATTCCAATACACAGTTCACATTTACATTCACTACAAATGATTTACTATCACTCTTACCCCTAATAAACCTAATTCTAGTGGAAATTTTATAAACTGAGCATCAGAAACTTGTAGCATATTTCCTAAAAACTAAATTGACTGAGACTGGATAAATGTTCAGTGTATAAAATCCTGCTTAGTAATGCCCTCTAACAACATTAGCTTACTAAAAATTTATAATAACATTCATACAGCTTGTTTACCCTCTAGTGAACAGGAACTCTGAATTTTATAAAATTCTTGAAGCAAATGTTTAATTTTCAGTTCTCCAAAATAAGTAAAATTAAACAGATTCTGTAAGGCACAACATTTCTAGAGGCCTAGAGTTTAGAGGATATCAGTCCAGAACACACGTCCTTCCCTCAGACATAAAACAGAAAACCTACATGAGCATGGGTCATGTTTAACAGAGGTCACTGTATAACAATGACCTCTGCCTCTCACAGCTGAGAGAATTACCTAATAGATACAAAGCACCAAGCAAAATGCCCTCCTCTTAATTAAAAAAAAAATATATATATAGCTGGTGGCGCAGCCCAATAAGCTAATCCTCCGCCTGTGACACCGGCACACTGGGTTCTAGTCCCGGTTGGGGCACTGGATTCTGTCCCGGTTGCCCCTCTTCCAGACCAGCTCTCTGCTGTGGCCAGGGAGTGCAGTGGAGGATGGCCCAAGTACTTGGGCCCTGCACCCCATGGGAGACCAGGAGAAGCACCTGGCTCCTGGCTTCGGATCAGCGCAGTGCGCCGACCGCAGCTCGCCGGCCACGGCGGCCATTGGAGGGTGAACCAACGGCAAAAGGAAGACCTTTCTCTCTGTCTCTCTCACTGTCCACTCTGCCTCTCAAAAAGAAAAAAATTAAAAATAAAAAATTAATATATATATATAATTAACATTTATTTATAGAGATGACATTTGTTAGACACATAGTATTTTTCATAAGCTAGTTTAAATGTGATTCACATGTATTAACTCATTTAATCTTCACCAATGAGACAGATATTATTAGTCCTATTTTACAGATGAGGAATTAAGACATAGAAAGATAAATTAAACTGGCCAAAGTCACACAGCTAGTAAGGGAATAAAGCTAAAATTCAATTAAGTATCTAACTCCAGCGCCAGGAGGATTCACTATAGCTAAAGTAGGAGAAAATAAACAAATCTCACTGAAAAGAACACAAATTCCACTATAAGTGCATTACCACAGAAGATTTTTCTCATTTGTAATTTTCCTTAATATCAGTTTAGAAAACTCCACCAGGGCTGGCACTGTGGCTCAGCAGGTTAAGCCTCTGCCTGTGATGCTGGCATCCCATATGTACCCTGGTTCAAGTCCCAGCTGCTCCACTTCCAATCTAGCTCCCTGTAAATGCATCTGGGAAAGCAGCAGAATACAGCCCAAGTACTTGGGGTACTTGCCACCACTGGAGACCCTGATGGAATTTCAGGCTCCTGGCTTTGGCCTGGCCTAGCCCTGACCATTGAAGCCATTTGGGGAATTAACCAGCAGATCTCTCTAATTCTACCTTTCAAACAAATCTGTAGGGGCTGGCACTGTGGCACAGTAGGTTAAGCCTCTGCCTGTGGCACCAGCATCTCATATAGGTGCTCGTTTGCATTTCAGCTGCTCCTCTTCCAATCCAGCTCTGCTTACAACCTGGGAAAGCAGTGGAAAGAGCCGGCACTGTGGCATAGTGGGTAAGGCCACCGCCTGCAGTGCCGGTATCCTGTATGGGCACCGGTTTGAGTCTCAGCTGCTCCTTTTCCAATCCAACAACCTGCTTATGGCCTGGGAAAGCAGTAGAAGATGGCCCAAGTGCTTGGGCCCCTACACTGGCGTGGGAGACCCGGAAGAAGCTCCTGGCCTCAAACCAGCACAGCTCCGACCATTGCAGTCATCTGGGGAGTGAACCAGCAGATGGAAGACCTCTCTCTCTCTGCCTCTCCTTCTCTAACTCTGACTTTCAAATAAATAAAGCTTAAAAAAAAAAAAAAAAAAGTGAAAGCAAGCAAGCACTGGAAGATGGCCCAGGTGCTTGGGCCTCTGCATCCACATGGGAGACGCAGAAGGAGCTCCTGGCTCTGGATTGGCACAGCTCCAGCTGTTGTGGCCACCTGCAGTGAACCATCAGATGGAAGACCTGTCTTTCTCCCTCTCTGCCTCTGCCTCTCTGTAATTCTGCCTTTCAAATAAATAAATAAATCTTAAAAAAAAAAAAAAAAAAAAAGCTGCTGGCTCCTGGCTTCAGATTAGCCCAGCTCCAGCACCTGTAGCCATTTGGGAAGTGAACCAGGAGACAGAAGACCTCTCTCTGTCTCTCCCTCTCTCCATCTGTAACTTTGCCTCAAATAAATAAGATCATTTTTTCAAAATCTATAAAAAAATTATCAATTCATATCGCTTAACTGTTTCTCTCACTTCAAATAAATATATCACATCATTAGGACATCTTTACATTAAAAAATCTGCTTGACAATATGAATATGCTTGTGTGTATATTCATGTACATAAAACTTTTGCTGCCTTTACAAACAAGAACGAAAAAGCATAAAATATATTCAAAAAATACATCAGGGGTGGGCATTTGGCACAGCAGTTAGGTCCCACCTTGGATGCCCACATTCGAAATCAGAATGCCTGATTTGAGTCCTGGCTCCTGTTTCCACTTCAGCTTCTTGCTAATGCACACTCTAGGAGGAATGAGATGACTGCTCAAGCACTTGGGCCCCTGCCACCCTCATGGGAGACCCAGCTGGAGTTCGGGCTCCTGGCTTCAGCCTTGATCAGCCCTGGTGATGGCAGGCTTTTAGGGAGTAAAACAATGGAAACTTTTCTTTCTTCCTATCTGCCTCTCTTTTCGCCTTTGAAATAAAATAAAAAATAAATTTTAAAAAATATACAAATATGTCAAAATTACTATCAAAGAGCTTAAGATTTGGGTGTCTCTCAATCATTCTATTAACAAAAGGAGATATTTTATTAACATAAGAAATGTTATTTGATTTTATTGCCCCATAAAATGCTAAGATGCTTCCTCTTCCCCCAAATGATACCGCCTAACATATAAATAGTAACAGCAGGAGTCTAGCAGGCAACATCACATTCGAATTCTCCTTCTTTACCTTCTCTTTTCTCAACTCTTCTTTCAACATTTCCCTCAGTTTCTGGGCTTTGTATATTCGGTATCTGTCTGAGCACGGCTGTTTCTCTTTCGTTGGAACGGGGTTCGGCTGTGGAGCATCCTGAACAGCTGTGGCTATGGGAGGAGATTCTGAAGGAACACTGACACTGGGTTTAGCCAGACTAGAAGTACTTGACACTCGCTTTCTTCTCTGTGAAACAGTAGAGGGAGATTTACTGGATTCTTCAACACCATTACCACCACCAATCTTTTCATCACTGTTGAAATTGAAAAAGGAAAAAAAAAAGGCACATGAATCTTCCTTTATATATGCTGGTTTTAAAATCCAACATAGTGAAAATCCAAATTGGTAAAGTCTCATTATTAAAATAATAACTTGAGATTTCTCATAACTATGACAGCACTTGTAATAAAAGATTTTGTTTAATAACTCTTTTCAGCTATGTAATTCTAAAAAAGATAGTCAATCTTTTTCAAACTTCAAGTCCCCAAGTACATTAGAGCACATAATTATATGCGTAACACCTCAAGACAAAAAATAAAAAACAAAAGTTACAGAACAAAGCTTAATTAGCCTAATGTGAATTACTAGATAACAGAGCTGGCTTTTTAAAATTTAGCTTATAATTCACATTGACATTTCCAAAAATAGTCTAAATTACTGCCATTTATGTATCAATGTAAAAAATCACTCAGATCCGATATGCACAGCTTCAAACCTCTGAAATAGTTGTATTAGTGTTTGAAGATGCACGCTTAGCTACATGACCCAAGGCAAATTCTGTTTGAAGCAGAAATCACATATCTTTCAACAGATATAAGTTCACTTATGCATCATTAGAATAAACTCTTCACTCAAAATAAGTATTCAATCACTCCAAATTACATATTAGATGTAAATATTGCAAGTCTGGTCTAAAATTAAGTCAAGAACAGAGAACAGGGATGTAGTTGGATAGGAGAAATAACTTCTGAAGTTCTACAGGATGTAAATATCATTGACAACAATTAACTGTATATGTCAAAATAGCAAGTAGAGAGTTTGATTGTTTCTAACACAGAGATAATAAACATTTGAGGTAATAGATATATCAATTACCCAATCTATGTATCATTACACTGTATATGTATTGAAATAACACAGTGTACCCCGTAAGTATGTGCAATAATGTGTCAATTAAAACTTTTTAAAAATGTTTTTAAAAAGAGGAGATAGGGAACTAACAAGTCCCCTTTTTTCATCTTTAATTAGTTTTAGGTAAAAATAGAAAACCTGTAGTACAATCTTTCCAGAAAGTCTCCAATATCAATTCTTACCTCAGCATGATATACATGCACCATTTGCTTTTCATCAATTATTCTAAATGCATAAGGACAGAATACATTCCCTATAGATTTTTTACAACTAGCAAAGATCCATAAAAAAGGCAAGATGAGATTTAAAAAGCATACTCAGTAAAAGTCAACTTTAAAACAATTAAATATCCTCACACATAAATGTCTCCTACCAACAGATTCAAAGGTCACTTATTAAATTATCAATCATACAGTCATAAACAGTTAACAAACCCTGAGAATTGTATTAATTTAACAGTGATTAATACTGGTATCTCCTTTTTGAGTAGAAATTTTGTAACAGATTCAAATAAGAAACCTGAAAATTACTAAGCATCACTGAGCTACCCATATCAAAATCGCACCCCATGGTGGCAACAGTTCAGGCTAATAGAGGAAGCTGTGCCAGAAAGAAAATGTTCATCTTTCTTGGCATAAACAGAATTTGTACAATGCCACTGTCACTTAACAAGGCTGCCTGTTCGCTGGTTTGCTCATATATGAGTATATCACATAGAAACAGAGACCCTCTTAGTCTGACCGAGTCTCAGTTACTTTGCTCCATCACTTTTTAAAAACTTTGTATAGGCAACTATTCTGCTATGCCCTGAATTCTTACAAGTTACCTCTAATCTACACAGCACCGCTCCGAAAAATGCTATATTATCCTCATTTTACAGTTGAATAAGTCCTGCCCGGGAAAAATCGACCCAAGTCGTGTAGTGAGGCGGTCCTGAATCCAAATGTGCCACAAGAGGCTCCGGCCGAGCCTCTGCGTTGGGGAAAACACGCTCAGCATAGTTTAAGAGGCACACCCTCAACCCAAAGCAAGCAACCACATGTCCTTCTCATTGACATAAGTCAGCAGAACCAAACACTGTGGTCGGCTCCCTTCAAATATTAAGAAATTAAACTATTTTCCCAGCAAAGTACTGCGGCAAAACCGAAAAGCACGGTAGTGGAAATTCTCAAATGCAGACGGCGATATTCTTCACCTTAGGACTGTTACACCCGCACCTCTCCTACCACCACTGGCAGACGTGGTCCGCACCGGCCGGGGGATAAACTGCAGTGTGCAGTGGCTTCACCCAGTCTCAAAGGAAAAGGATGCCTCGTGCTCCTCGGAGAAAGTTCAGCCGCTCCGATTCCAGGTAGGAGACCCGGGGCGGCGAGGCACAGGAAAACACTCCCTCCCGAAAGCGCTTACCTGCTCTTGGGAGCCTTTTCTGGGGGCTCCGCTCCCCCAGAATCCACCGCAGGCACATCCGTGGGCTCCGCTGGCTTCGGGGCAGAGGGCGCTGCAGGCTCCGGCGGCCTGGGAGACTCCTGTCCACGCTGAAGCACAGGGGCGCTGGAGCCCCTGGCACCTCCACCCGGCCTGACATTCGGCTTCACACTAAGGCGTGCCCTGCGGATCATGGCGGAGCCAGGGGGCCCGGGGAGGCGGCCCCACGGCCGCTCTCAGCCCCGAGCCCCGACCCCAGCCCGAAGGGGCTAGGAACGACTTCCCTCCCCACAAGGCCGCACCACCAGCCCAGCGGGCAGCTACCGCAGTTTCAGGCCCCCGCCGCCGCCTCCTCTCTCCCACCGCCGCCTCTTCTTCATGACCCTGCCACACTAATAGCTAAGTTTCTCCCTCCTCCCTGCTCCCCCACCTTCAGAGGGCGTCGGAACTCATTGCGTCATCAGTCGGCGCCGCTGATTGCGTCAGGCGCATGGCGCCGGGAGTCATGGTAACTATCAAGCTACCGAGCCTGGGTTACCTGTGAACCGGAAATTGAGACGCAAAGTCGTGGTCTTCCTTATCGGTGGCGTCCTTAGGAATTATTGAAAAGAGAAAAAGGAGGCAGTCTGCTCAGCTCAAACCTGAAAGAGAAGTATTTTTTTAAAGAAAACTTTTATTTAACATATATAAATTTTGAAAGTACAATTTTTGGATTATAGCGGTTTTTCCCCCCATAGCCACCCTCCCACCCGCAAACCATCCCATCTCCTACTCCCTCTCCCATCCCATTCTTCATTAAGATTAATTTTTAATCATTTTTGAAAGAGAAGTTTTAAAATCGCTGGCTGATTTTGTTGTTAGAGGCTCCTGAAAAGCAGTTACACAGTGTGAGAGCAGCGCCCGCTGACCAGTGTATCCTCAGGGTTTAGAAATTCAAAATTGGGTAAAACACAGATGAACTTTGCCGGTGTGAGGAACTGATAAAGGTTACCTCAAGGAGAGAACCTGAGCTTATGAGAAAACTGTGGGAAGATCAGTCACAGTATTCTCGTGTTTTTTTGTTTTGGTTTGGTTTGGTTTTTTTGTCAGGCAGACTTCGACAGTGAGAGAGAGAGAGACAGAGAGAAAGGTCTTCATTCTGTTGGTTCACCACCCAAATGGCCACTACGGCCAGAGCTACGCTGATCCGAAGCCAGGAGCCAGGTGTTTCTCCTGGTCTCCCATGGGGTGCAGGGCCCAAGGACTTGGGCCATCTTTCACTGCCTTCCCGGGCCACAGCAGAGAGCTGGCCTGGAAGAGGAGCAACCAGGACAGAATCTGGCGCCCCGACCAGGACTAGAACCTGGGGTGCCGGAGCCACAGGCGGAGGATTAGCCAAGTGAGCCACAGCGCCGGCCCTCTCATGTATTTTTAAAATATGAATGTATTACTCGCCCCAAAATAATTAGTTGAAACTTTGAATGCTTAATCTTGAAGAGGTGGCAATGGGGGCCCGAGCTGTGGCATAAGGAGTAAAACCACTGCCTGCAGTGCTGAGGTCCCATATGGGCACCGGTTCAAGTGCTGGCTGCTCCTCTTTCCATCCAGCTCTCTGCTATTGCCTGGGAAAGCAGTGGAGGATAACCAGAGTGCTTGGGCCCCTGAACCCACGTGGGAGACTCAGAAGAAGCTCCCAGCTCCTGGCTTCAGATCAGCGCAGCTCCAGCCCTGGTGGCCATCTGGGGAGTGAACCAGCATATGGAAGACCTCTCTCTGTGTAACTCTGACTTTCAAATATATAAATAAATCTTTAAAAAAAAGAAAAAAATAATTCTAGTACCCTTGCAATAAACCCCAAATTGCTTCCCTTCCCTTCCTCTGTAGCAGATCTCTTTATCGATTTGAGCAGCTGTGCCAGAAAGTCAAGCCTCTCTCCCTGCTCATGTGGACACATTGAGGAGGGTGTGCAGAGCAGACCACAGGGACTGCAGGAGACTCTCTGCCATTGAAAGAATAATAGCTAGTGTATTCTATGTCATCATACTATGGGCACTTTGTACTGCACATGTTAATTCAATTAATGAAAAGCACGATTACCTCCTCATTTTACAGCTGAGGAAGCTTCAATGTGCCCAAGTTGGCATACTTGCTCATGGGTAGGGCCAGGCTTTCAGCCCTGGCGTTCCAGCTCCAGAGCGTCTCCCTCACTTGCTCCCACCTTCTCTAAGGTAGGCAGTTGACTGAGGTACTATTGTAATGTACTTGGGAGCACATTACAGTACTTTCCATATTTTTGTGTACATTTGAAATCTTCCAAAATAAAAGGTTTAAAAAAGGAGCAGGCATCTGCCCTAACAAGTCCACATCCTGTGTCAGAGTGGCTGGGTTCAACAGGCAGCCCCAGGGGTTTTGGGTACTTGGGGAGTGCACAACTGGATGAGCACTCCCTCTCTAAATAAAAAAGAAAGAAAAAAACCCACAGGGTAATTTTTTTAAAGATTTATTTATTTATTTGAAACTCAGAGTTACACAGAGGGAAGGAGAGGCAGAGAGAGAGAGAGGTCTTCCATCCAATGGTTCACTCTCCAATTGGCCGCAATGGCCGGAGCTGTGCTGATCTGAAACCAGGAGCCAGGAGCTTCTTCTGGGTCTCCCACGTGGGTGCAGGGGCCCAAGGACTTGGACCATCTTCCACTGCTTTCCCAGGCCATAGCAGAGAGCTGGATCAGAAGTGGGGCAGCCGGGACTCAAACTGGTGCCCATATGGGATGCCGCCGGCCCTGCAGGCGGGGGCTTTACCCACTACGCCACAGCACGGGCCCCCACAGGGCAATTTTTTAAAAACTTTTTATTTGAAAGAGATACAGAGAGAGAGAGAGAGAGCGAGAGAGAGAGAGAGAGAGAGAGAAAGAGATCTATACGCTGGCTAGTTGGCTAGCCAGGAGCTTCTTCCTTGTCTCCCATGTGGGTGCAGGGGCCCAGACACCTGGGCCAGCCTCTGCCGCTTTCCCAGGAACATCAGTAGGGAGCTGGATCAGAAGTGGAGCAGCCGGGACTCCAACCGGCGCCCGCAGCCGTCGCAGGAGGCTGCTTTACCCGCTGCACCGTTAGGGAGCCCTACACCATCTTTTAATAACGGAAAAGGGAAGAAAGCAGCTATCAGTCAAATGAACCGTAAGAGCACTTTTACACGTATTTCCAGCAAGGGCAGTCTCCTTCCTTCCTCTGCCGGGGGATAAATGAAAGCTAACATTCGTTGGCAAAACGTTAGATATCGCGGAGCTCATCGTCGTTTCTTATCGCGAAACAGGTCTATACACACGCCTATGGCGCCCGCACCCCACTCACAGGGCAGCCCTGGTCGGGGGGCCCCGCACGCACGCGCGCGCACGCGCAGCGGCTCCCGAACCTCGCCGGGGCGGTGGGCGGAGCCGGTGGGCGGGGCTGAGCGAGCGGAGGCGTCACCGGGCCGAGGGCCCGCTCGGGCTCAGCCACCCGGTGGGCGGCTGGAGACAGCGTGTGAGCGTGCCGGGGAGCCGTTGATTTTTCCAGTCGCTCTCTTCCAGGCTCCGTTCGGTGATCAGCATGGCCCGTGAGTGTGCGGACGGGTGGGCGAAGCGTCCAGCGAGAGAGCCGAACCCAGGGGCGCGGCGGGGTGGGCAGGCGGGGCTGGTGGGGCTGGGACCCCGGCTTCCCGCAGCAGAGGGAGAGGGATGCTGGGCGTGGGTCCGGCCTCTCGGGCGGAACAGGTGCCAGTTCTCGGGTGCGCCCGTTAGCACGGTGAGGACTCCTGCTCCACGACCATTCCTTGCGATGAGCTGAACCTGTGCGAGGGGTGCTCTCTGAATCTTGCCTTTCTCTACGCACACCCCTCAAAAGCCAGAACTTATTTTGGAATACTGGCCCCTTCAGACAGAGGATTGAATTGCCTGCTCTCAAAGGTCTGCCATTTATAGCTCTGGACACCTAGCTTGGCAGGATAATACTCTTAAGCCCTCCCGTGCTTACCTTTTAAGCATCCTTGTCGGATAATGCAATCCTCTACTGAAAAGGCAAAGTTCAGATGCGTTCAAATAAGAACTTTTTAATGGAATGATTAATGCTTTTGGAGATGAGAAAAGAGTGTAACTGTTTGACTTTGCAGGTGGAAATCAACGCGAACTTGCCCGCCAAAAAAACATGAAAAAATCGCAGGAAATTAGCAAGGGAAAAAGAAAAGAAGATAGCTTGACTACTTCTCAAAGAAAGCAGAGGTGAGCAGTGCTGATAGAATTCTCGGGTGACTGAAGCCAGGTTTTGGAGAATGGAAAGCGTTTATCTTTTCCTTTTATTTATTTAATTTTTTAAGATTTATTTTTGGGGCTGATGCTGTAGCATACCGGGTAAAGCCGCCACCTGCAGTGCCGGCATCCCATATGGGCACTGGTTCAAGTCCCCGGCTGCTCCTCTTCCGATCTAGCTCTCTACTATGGCCTAGGATGGCTCAAGTGCCTGGGCCCCTACACCCGCGTGGGAGACCCAGAGGAAGCTCCTGGCTCCTGGCATTGGATTGGCCCAGCTCTAGCTGTTGTAGCCATTTGGGGAGTGAACCAGTGGATGGAAGACCTTTCTATTTGTCTGTTCCTCTCTCTGACTGTAACACTACCTCTCAAATAAATAAATAAACTGAAAAACAAAAAATATATATGGCAAATATTACAAAACTGATACAGAAATATGTTAATGAAAAAGAAAAAACAAAAAGGTAAAAAAATATCAAATACTTCAATATGTATTCATAGCTGTGCCTATGAACAACCTCAATAGGGGTTGTACCAATATTGAGAGGGCTTCAGGTTATTTGCCCAAGGTTTTGATAACAGTAGACATGATATTCAAAGTAAGATCTGCCTTCAAAGCTTTTCCAGGTTTTGCCTTTCCATTCTTTCTTCTTGCATGAAAACAGAAAGATATGAATGTTTATATCATCTTTCAATAATTTTATAATATTATTACATAGTTATGTGTAGAAAAAAAGTGAGGACATAAAATGAGTTTTTCTGTACCAGCTTACAGACTTTTACCTTATTTTAGGGACTCTGAGATCATGCAACAGAAGCAGAAAGCAGCTAATGAGAAGAAGGCCCTGCAGACAAGAGAAAAATGAGGACTGTCCATTTGGAAAACTTGGTACTACTGCCAGCTGGGTATACCATAAACTCTCGGAGATCAAGGTTTTATAGAGTGAACAGTCATTACATGTGTTATAACTTGCTGTACAACTGTCTATTTTAAACTTTGCCTTTCAGCCTGACTTAATGTAATGTTTTCGAACCATTCATCAAAGAATAAAACACTAACCATGCATGTGACATATTACTTAAATTTTTTTTTAATATTTATTTATTTATTTGAAATGCAAAATTACAGAGAGGCAGAGGCAGAGAGGTCTTCCATCTGCTGGTTCACTCCCTAAATGGCCACAACAGCCAGAACTGGGCCAATCCGAAGCCAGGAGCTAGGAGCTTCTTCTGGGTCTCTCACATGGCTGCAGAGGCCCAGGGACTTGGGCCATCTTCCACTGCTCCCAGACCATAGCAGAGAGCTGGATTGGAGTGGAGTAGCCGGGACTCAAAAAACAGGCACCCATATGGGATGCCAGCACTGCAGGCAGTGGCTTTCCCAATATGCCACAGCACTGGTCCCTGAACATTGTTTATCCACAGTGAACCCTCATATAATTTATTAGATACATGTAATGTGATCAAATAACAGACTTCTTTGTCATAAACTGTTATATTTTAAAAAAAGATTTATTTACTTATTTGAAAGGCTGAATTGCAGAGCAAGACAGAGACAGAGACAAAGAGAGATTGAGATCTTCCAGTGGCTGGTTCACTCCCCAGTGGCCATAATGGCTGCAGCCACACCTATCTGAAGCCAGGAGCTTCTTCCGGGTCTCCTGTGTGGGTGTAGCAGCCAAAGCACTACGACCATTCTCTGCTGCTTTCCCAGGCATATTAGCAGGGAGCTGGACCAGAAGTGGAACAGCAGGATTTAAACCACCACCCAGGTGGTGGCTTTACCTGCTATATCACAGCTAAATCTTTTTTTTTTTTTTTTTTTTTTTTTTTGACAGGCAGAGTGGACAGTGAGAGAGAGAGACAGAGAGAAAGGTCTTCCTTTGCCGCTGGTTCACCCTCCAATGGCCGCCGCTGCAGCCGGCGCACCGCGCTGATCCTGGCAGGAGCCAGGAGCCAGGTGCTTTTCCTGGTCTCCCATGGGGTGCAGGGCCCAAGCACCTGGGCCATCCTCCACTGCACTCCCTGGCCATAGCAGAGAGCTGGCCTGGAAGAGGGGCAGCCGGGACAGAATCCGGCGCCCCAACCGGGACTAGAACCCGGTGTGCCGGCGCCGCAAGGTGGAGGATTAGCCTATTGAGCCACGGCGCCGGCTACAGCTAAATCTTTAAAGCAAATTTATTGTCTAATGGAATTTAAGATCTCTTTATATAATTTTGCTTTGTAACCAACTGATTTCCTGGAGTTAACAACAGATAGTGCAAACCACCTGAAATAGCAACTAAAATGATGTAAACTAAACAAAGACTGAGCAAGAGTTCTGGAGTTTTAAAAAATTTTGGAATGAGTGCTGTATTTTACTCTGTTCTTTTTCAAAAACTTGTGACTTGGGCCGGCGCCGCGGCTCACTAGGCTAATCCTCCGCCTAGCGGCGCCGGCACACCGGGTTCTAGTTCCGGTCAGGGCGCCGGATTCTGTCCCGGTTGCCCCTCTTCCAGGCCAGCCCTCTGCTGTGGCCAGGGAGTACAGTGGAGGATGGCCCAGGTGCTTGGGCCCTGCACCCCATGGGAGACCAGGAAAAGCACCTGGCTCCTGGCTCCTGCCATCGGATCAGCGCGGTGCGCCGGCCGCAGCGCGCCGGCCGCGGCGGCCATTGGAGGGTGAACCAACAGCAAAGGAAGACCTTTCTCTCTGTCTCTCTCTCTCACTGTCCACTCTGCCTGTCAAAAAAAAAAAAAAAAACAAAACTTGTGACTTGATGCTGGTTATAAATTAAGAAATATAGTAACCTAGAGACATTACGGTTTGAGACCTTGTTCTATTTGAATAAAATATGCATAATTATGTTTAATATAATCAAAATGCTGAGGCCAGTGCTATGGCATAGTGAGTTAAGCCACTGCCTTCAGTGCTGGCATCCCATATGGGTGCCAGTTTGAGTTCCAAATGCTCCACTTCTAATCCAGCTCCCTGCTAGTGCTCCTGGGAAAGCAGCGGAAGATGGCCCAAGTGCTTGGGCCCCTGCATCCACATGGGAGACCCAGAAGAACTTCTTGTCTCCTGGCTTTGACCTGGCCCAGCCCCAGCCCTTTCAGCCATTTAAGGAGTAAACCAATGGATGGAAGACCTCTCTCTGTCTGTTTCTCTCTAAATGCCTTTCAAAGAAATAAAATAAATCTTTTTTTAAAGAAAAGAATTAAAATGCTACCAAACTTAATTTAACTTACTTAATGCAAAAGTGTGTATTCTTCGAGGACTTCATTTTTTACATAATGCAATTGAGCAAATTTTTATTGATCACTTAATATGTCAGGTACTAACTTAATGGTTAGATCTTCAAGATTGAAAGTAATGTATTGTGATAGGTCATTTACCTACGATAATACCTATAAATAGGATGGAATTCTGAGTGTTTCTAAGAATAAGACAATCATTAAGGTTTTTTTTTGCCTGAGTTTTTTAATGTTTGTTTATTTTCATCTTTTTTAAAGAGTGACAGAGAAAGAGATCTTGCATCTGCTGGTTCGCTCCCCAAATACCCATAACAGTCAGGACTGAGCCAAGTCAAACCAGAAAGGAGCCTGGAATTCAATCTGGGTCTCCATGTGGATGTCTAGAGATCCAGCTACTTGGACCGTCAACAGCTGCCTTTCCAGGTACATTAGCAGGAAGCTGGATCAGAAGTAGAGTAGCTGAAACTTGAACCAGCACTCCAGTATGGGATGTAGGCATCCCAAGCAGCACCTTAACCTGTACCAAAATGCCCACCTTTTTTACCTTTTTTTCAAACGAATGATTTGGGCCAGTGTGTGGCTTGGCAGTTTTAAGATTTAATTTATTTGAAAGACAGAATTACAGAAAGAGATAGAGATAGACAGAGAGGTCTTCCATCCACTGGTTCATTCCCAAAATGGCCCCAATGGCCAGAATGAGCTGACCCAAAGCCAGGAGCTAGGAGTTTCTTCCACGTCTCCCATGTGGGTACAGAGGCCCAAGGACTTGAGCCATCCTTTGCTGCTTTCCCAGGCCATTAGCAGTGAGCTGGGTCAGAACTGGAGCAGCCAGGACTTGAACCAGTGCCCCTATGGGATGCTGGCACTGCCGGCCCCAAGGCTCGGTAATTTAAGCTGCTGCCTGCAATGGTGGAATCCCATATGAGTGCTGGTTCAAGTCCTAACTGTGCCACTTCCAAACCAGCTCCTTGCTAATTCAACTGGGAAAGCAGCAGAGGATGACCCAAGTGGTTGGGCCTCTGCACTAACATGGGAGAGACAGATGAAGTTCCTGGCTTTAGCCTGGCTCAGCCCTGGCTATAGAGGATATTTGGGGAGTCAACCAGCAGATGGAAGCTCTCCCACTCTCTGTAACTCTGCCTTACAAATAAATTTTAAAAAATCATTAAAGGCAGGGGGTAGTGCTGTAGCACAGCAGTTTAAGCAACCTTCTGCAGTGCCAGCATGCCATGTGCATGCCAGTTTGAGTCCCGGCTGCTCTCTCCACTTCTGATCCAGCTCCCTGCTAATGGCCTGGGAATGCAGAGGAAGATGGCCCAAATGCTTAGTCCCCTGCACCCATGTTGGAGACCCTGATGAAGCTCCTGGCTTCAGCCTGGCCCAGCCCCACCCACTGCAGCCACTTGGGGAGTGAACCAGTGGATGAAGGATCTCTCTCAGTCTCTGTAAATAACTCTCAAAAAATAATTTTAAAATAAATAAATAAATAGAAATTTTTAAAGAGACATATCTAATTGTTCTTGATTAATTTTATGACATTTAATTAAATTTGTTATTAAGGTAAGATTTTATTTTGGGGGCCAACACTGTGGCCTAGTAGGTTAAGTACCCGCAGTGTGGCTTCCAACATGGCGGCGGTTCTTGTCCTGGCTGTTCTTCTTCCAGTCCAGCTCCCTGCTTATGCTCTAGGAAAGTAGTGGAAGATGGCCCAAGTGCGTGGACCTCTGCGCCCATGTGGGAGACCTGGATGAAGTTCCTGGCTGCTGGTTTCAGATCTGCCCAGCTCCAGCAGCTGCAGCAATTTGGGGGGTAAACCAATGGATGGAAGTCCTCTCTCTCTGTCTCTCCCTCTCTGAAACTCTGCCTCTCAAATAAATAAATTTTTTAAAAAATATATTTGATTTTTAGCTTCAACATGACCATAAAGAGGCTAGCTTAGTAAATTACAAGATACTAAGGGAAAATTCAGGTGATTTTCAATCACTAAAGTTAATTTATGTACCTTTAATTTGGATATTTTCCTTTTTAAAAAAAATTATTTATTTATTTATTTACTTATTTGAAAGAGTTAGAGAGGCAGAGGCAGAGACAGAGAGAGAGGTCTTCCATCCACTAGTTTATTACCCAGATGGCCACAATGGCCAGAGCTGCATTGATCCGAAGCCAGAACCCAGGAGCTTCTTCCAGGTCTCCCATGCAGTTGCAGGAGCCCAAGGACTTGGACCATCTTCTGCAGCTTTCCCAAGCTATAGCAGAGACCTGGATAAGAAGTGGAGTAGCAGGAAATCAAACTGGTGCCCATTTGGGATGCCGGCACTGCAGGCAGCTACCCACTATGCCACAGCACGGGCCCCTAATTTGGAAATTTACTTTGGTTTGTTGCCAAAATTGATAGTATCAAATTCAGAATGTAATTTGTGAAATAGCACAGAACAGCTATGAAGACATTAAAAATGCTACTTTGTGGCTGGCGCCGCGGCTCACTAGGCTAATCCTCCGCCTAGCGGCGCCGGCACACCGAGTTCTAGTTCCGGTCAGGGCGCCGGATTCTGTCCCGGTTGCCCCTCTTCCAGGCCAGCCCTCTGCTGTGGCCAGGGAGTGCAGTGGAGGATGGCCCAGGTGCTTGGGCCCTGCACCCCATGGGAGACCAGGAAAAGCACCTGGCTCCTGGCTCCTGCCATCGGATCAGCGCGGTGCGCCAGCCGCAGCGCGCCGGCCGCGGCGGCCATTGGAGGGTGAACCAACGGCAAAGGAAGACCTTTCTCTCTGTCTCTCTCTCTCACTGTCCACTCTGCCTGTCAAAAAAATAAATAAATAAAAATAAAAATGCTACTTTGA